CAGTACGCATTTGTGGCATTTAACACTTGTGATGTCTCTTGTGGCTCTCTCTTGGTACAACGTGCAGTAAGGATAAGCCCACTGACTTTTCCCAGTCTCTAGGAAACTGTGTTAAATTATAGTGTTGAACAGTTTTAGCTTGGTTCCTTTGAGATGACTTTCATTTATCTCAAGGTTTCTTTGTGTTGCAGGAGACTCAGATTTTTCCCAAGTCTTTTTATAGTCAGTCACTTACAGTACAAGAATTCATTGTCAAGAGTGAACTCTAGCTTTGCATCTCACATAGATTCATCTGATACATTAAGAGTTTATTTTCAAAGGCTTCTTTCCAAGTCATGCTATTGTCAGGGTTTGTTATCTAGCAGCATTTTCTCTACAACCTCACCAGGAAGCTAGAAGAGAATTGTCCATGAGTCACAAGAATTTTACCTGTGCATTCAGCTAGGCCCCAGGCAGCTCAGAAAGCCGGCCACTGTTTCTCAAGCATTAGTACTAGTGCATGAACAGCATAAATTTTAACTGGAAGAGAGTGTTTTTAAAATAGAAGGGGGAGCATACACTTCAGTCCAACACACAGTTGGAGCTGTGTTACTTGTGGCTCAAAACAGTAGTCAAGGGATTAAGAAACTTTCAGCTTTTCCTTCACTTTTCAAATCTGTCACACAGAAGACATCCTTTCCAGCTCCAGAGTAAAGCATACCCTAGATCCACTCCAGATCTATAAATGAGCCTATCCTCAGCACAGGATAGTTCTGCTGGCCTCTGTGCACAAACAACAGTTTTCAAAACTCTCCTCCTCTGAGCTAACAAACTCAGCTTTTATTTCCTTCCAAAGTGGTAACTGTGACAGTTTCCTCTCTCTGCCCTCAGCTGATTCCCTTTGCCATTTCTACATTCACTTACTAACCCAAGCAAGCTGAATGGAAATGAGTCTGTCCTTCCCAGAAGCATCCCTGTAAAGAGAATGGGTTTGACTTACTTCACTTAAAAAAGAATAAAGAAGGACAGTAAAATAATGGAGACTGTCAGTGAATGCAAGCCAAATTAATTTCAGAATTGGTTCATCCCTTACTGGCATCTTCAGAGTTGCATCAGCTTGGAGGAAATGGATTTGTCTTTGTGTTTCTGAGAATCTAGCCTTGTTTCAATTCTTCTGAACACTTCCTTCTTTCCTTCTGACTGCACTTCAGCTTTGATCCAAGTATCAGATAGGCTCACAAGGCAGAAGACTTGCACTGAATCGAACACAAATTTCTACTGACAGGTTCTGCTACCTAGATGATGCATGACACACAAGTGAACAAAACTGATAAGGTCTCAGCTTCTTTCCCTGTTATAGTAACAAAGCACCTTGTAATGATATATTTTTTTCTGTTCCAAAAGCTGGTTGCCATGATAAGTTACTTGTGTTACTCTGTCAGATACTACAAAGAAACAATTTGCATTCCCTAGAAACATAGAAATTTTTAAAAGTTGATTACTTATCAGTTTGCTTTCTGCCATGACCCTACTCATTCTCTAAGCTCAGGGAGAGATGGGCAAGAAAACATCCCAGTATGAGAAAAGGACTTGCATGTTTCTTGAGCTAGTGTATCTTCAGGAGGATTAAATTAAAAAATCATGAAGAATATTGCACAATGGGGAAGCAAAACTCACAGAGATCTCTGCTTTTCTCAGTATGCTGTCAGAGACATTGTCAGAGGGAGCACAATGACAGAGCCTTCCTTGCAAACACTTTCCAGTGAAGTTCCAGTCACACAGAAAAAGCATGCATTCAGGAAAACAGACTAGGGTGAGCTCAAATGCCATGGAAAGAACCAGAAAGCAAACTGCATGATTAAAATCAGGTGAACTTGTACATATGGTGACAACAGGAGACCCAAAACAACAATAGCAATTGACACCACTAATCTACTCTCTGTGTCTGCTGAGAACTAATAAACCTTCCAGTATATCAAAAATATATAGTGGATATCTGGATGTATTTAAGTATGTATCCTTGTGAAGCTAAAAAATTACTGTTACCTACTCTTACCTACCTGCTGATGATTTTGATGATCACAAGAAGACTTTTTCATGTTTTTTTGAGTTTTTTACTAGGGAGAAAGAAAGAATAATTCAACTTAGGTGTTTCTAGTAAAAACCACTCAAAAAACCCTCCAATTTTAAAAATGTAGCTTTGATCTGTAGCTGATGAGGAAGTTCAGTTGCTCACTAAGCTCTTGGCATGTCTGTATGTCACACAGTGGACAGCTAAGTTTATGTCTTGTCTACAATTCCCCTCTCACAGAAGTTAAAGCAGGGGTGAAAATATCAAGGGGTTAATTTTGGGTCACAGTACCTACAAAAATCAGTAATGTACCTTCACAGACTGAATTTAGTGTGTTGGTACAAAAAGCCATGACAGGATAAGCATGTCGATGAGTTATGGCCTTCCAGCTGCAAGCTGCGTACAGTTTGGTGAAAACAATCATGAAAAATTGAAGGTATGGGAATTGAAGGTATTTCATCTCCTCTGCACATTTTGTTTTTGGAGTTTTACTGTGGCAATAAGGACCTAAGATACTCTCACTTTCCTTCTCATTGCCCTGCATGCCAGTGGACCCAGTACTTGGTTAGCCTTCCTTTCCTGTCAAGCAAGGCTCACAACAGTTAGAGCACTGCAAGCCAGACATTTTCCAAGAATTAAACTCAAATTTGGAGAAAGGAAGGAATAATCTGCTCAGGAACAACAATTTTTTACAAATAGAATGGGCTATGACCTCAGAAAGTGTAAATCTGTGCTCTGACAAAAGCATGGAGTTATTTTGTTTTGCCACAGTTGAGGATCTAGTCCCAGTATTTTGCTTTTTTATCAAAAAGTAGAAGGGGAAAGAAGACACTTTTAAGCTCTTATCACTCTCTGTGTCTTTGCAAGTCTGTGCCATCACCCCTCTGCCATTGTGGGGTTGTGACTCACCAATAGGTGATTCCGTCTCTGTCTTCCAGCAGTCTTCAAACAAATAGTCCTCGGGTATCTTACAGCCTGATGTGATCTGGCACTGAAGAATGAGCAAGAGAGAGGCAGTTTCACTCTCCTCCTCTGGTGTTTCTTGGTTCTTGTAGGTCACTGAGAAGCCCAGGAAGCATGAAACTGATGTTCCCCCATAGCTGTGCCTATTTTACTACCTATTTGGCGCTTGCTTCCTGACAAGTTCTTCTGGGCCACCTAGGTACCAAAAAAGAGAAGCCTGTTTTCAGGGTGCTTCAAAAAGCGAGGCTCCTGCATGCTCCAGTACCCTGGCTGCTCGTTAGACACGGCTACAACAAGACGAGACAGGTAGCCCGGAGAGGCGGCGCACGGTGCGTGCGTGTGGCGGCCTGCGGAGCAGCCCCTCACCTTTGTGTGTGTGTGTGTGTGTGTGTGTGTGTGTGTGTGTGTGTGTGCGCGTGTGTGTGCGCCGCTCTGCCCTCGGCTCGCTCGGCAGCGATGCTGGCTCTCCCTCGGCTGCGGCCCTCGCCTCCCCGCACAACCCAGAGCTCACTCACAGTCAGGAGGGCTTGTTAGAAACAAGGGAAGAGTTTCGAGGTAGGTTAAAAGCTTCAGCTTTTTTGTTTGGACCTGTCTGTTTGCGTGCTGGTTTTTGGAAAAGTGCTCCGGCAGGTTTGTTTGTGCTGGTGCAACACGTTTGTGAGACCTGAGAAAACCTGCACAACTGTCTCTATGGGTATCCTTAGAACGTGTTTAATCTGCTCTTGATACAAGCTCTGCAGGGCATGAGCTTTCTTTTTATTATGTGTCAAGCATAGTATCTAGAACAATGGTTTTTAGATCGATTTTCAGATTAGTAGATACTTTTCTAATGGAAACAATAAATTGTGAAAGTGTGCTTGAAACATATGTCAGAGAGAACAGTGCTTTTCCAGTACCAGGAGTGTGTACTTTATTTGGCATCGTATTCTGCATCAAAGCTTGATTACTTCTGCAAGCTGCTGGAAAATACAGTGACTATGCAATCCACTCTATCCAGTTTACAAATAGTAATAAGAGAATCACAGTGCCCAGAGTAGAAAATGTCTGGTGTACTGTGACAGAATGGGAAGCCCTGCATTGACAGACCCGATTTCAGGACATGAAGCTTGAGTCCATCAATTTTTACTAGCTCTGCTTCAGCGGTGCTTCTTGTGGCACCCAAATAGGATCAGACGAGAGCCTTTCGACACGCTTGGACCTTCATCTGAAATTGCAGTAATTCTGCTCAGACCGTGCATATCTCTGCTGCTAAGCCTAAGTGAACCCCATCTGCCTTAAACAGAGCCAATTCAGGTGTCTTTCCTTTGTGGCCTTAATTGCACTTGAATAATTTGGAGTCATCTATTTTTCTAGGCATTTCCAGGGGCCAGATAAATGCACCCTGTGAGCCGAGTTTAGCGCATCGCGTTATCAGGAAGGACCGTGACCGACAACCAATGCTACATTTCAGGGGGCTCCGGTCCTCCTCCCCAGAATGCCTCCGTGGGGCGCCGACAAAGGCAGCGCAGCCCCGGGCAGTCCCGCGGGGCAGGGCGGGCTGTGGGAGCGGCGGCCGCCAGGCCTTCCCCTCCCCTCGGGTGCGGGGCGCTCCTGCGGAGGGGCGGCCGCGGGCCGGGGAGCGCAGACGAGTCCCGGCAGGGAAAGGACGCGATCCCGGCGGCTCCCGGGGCGCGGAGGCAGCAGGGGTCACCCGCCGGGGCGAGGCAGCCCCCGGCCCCCCCGCCGCAGCCGCCGCCGCCCCAGGGACCGCCCCGCGGCCGGGCCGCGGCGGGCGGGCGGCGGCGGTGACTGACAGGCGGCGCGGCCCACCCGGAGGGCGGAGGCGGCGGGGGCCGCCAATCAGGGGCGGCGGGCGGGCGCCGAGCGGCGGGAGGGCGGGGCGCGGGCTGGGCGTGTGCCGCGGCCGCCGGCGGGGCGCGCTCCCGCTCCGCTCCCGCTCTCCCCGCACGCACATTGTCCGGGCGCGGCGGCGGCACAGCGCCCCGGCGCCCCGTGCCAATGCGGGGCGGGCGCGGCACGCCGGGGGCGCCTCCACCACCGCGGTGGAAACTTCCCCTCGCCGCCGGGCCGACGCGCGGCTGAAGCCCCCGGCGGGGAGGAGCGGAGCGGGGTTTCGCCCGCCTGGCGGGGCGCCTCGTCTAGTTTGGTTTTTCCTACATTGGAAGGGCAAAAGCGAATACTGTTACCCGGCTTTAAACTTCCGCGCTCCGCTCTCCAGGACGCGCATCCCGCCCGGCGGGGTGGGCGAGCCGGTGAGTGACCGCCGGGAGCGGGCTGGCGCTGGGTCGCGGTGGGTGGGACGCGCCGTCGCGCAGGGGCAGCGCCCACCGGCTCGGCGGGGACGGGTCGGCAGCGCCGCCGCCGCCACCTGTTAGCGGGGCTGTTCCCCCCCCCCCCCCCCCCCCCCCCCGCCATGTTCGTACCCCCACCGTGCTCGGGCTGTCCCCGCCGTGCCCGGGGTGGCGGTGAAAAGGGACGGCCCCTCGGCCCGGTGGGCGGCGGCGGGGTGCTGGGGGCGGTGGCGGCCACCCACCTGCTCGCCTGGCCGCGCCATGACTCTGCTGCCTGGGCGCTGCCTGCCGACCCGAGTCCCGGCAGGCCGCCGGGGTGGGAGGGTGGTGGGGTACCACCGAGCGGCAGCTTCTGTACCCCCTTTGCCCTCCCTGCTCTCTGCCCTCCAGCCCCAGCCCTCCTTCTGCACCCACTGTGTCCTCCTCCCAAGCTGCAGCCCTTTTTCCTTCCCACCCTTGCCGTCCCGCTCCCTTCCGTGTCCCTTAGCTGCAGCCGTGTTCCCCTCCTCTTCTTCGCGCCCCCAGTTTGCAGCCCACTGCACCCGTCTTCCCTCATCCCCTTGCATCCCTCACACTGCTCCTGTGGTGCTTCAAAGGGGAGCCCCGGACTCCCCACTCTTTGCCAAAGCAGGTACCAGCTGGGCTCTGACACCCCCCGGGCGAGGCCAGCTCCATGGCGGTGCCAGGCCCGGGGCGAGGCGCGGAGGGGGCAGGCAGGTGGCGGAGGCGCAGGTATTTGTGTGCAGCTGCGAGCAAGGGAGCGAGGTCCCCCGTTCTGCGAGCATGCGGCTCTGCGGAGCGGGTGACACCTCCCTCCTCTCCCTCCCTCCCTCCTAGGGACGCTCGCCGCCGGGGCTCTGCGGCGTGCCGAGGCTTCCTGCGCCCTGCTGCCCTGTAAAGGGTGTCGCGGAGTCCGCGGCTGCAGCATCTTCACCCCAAGTGAAGGTGCATCTGATAGCTCGCTTGGCCCATACAGGTCCCGAGTGGGAATGTGTTTAAAAATTACCTACCTCAAGCAGTGGAGAGAGCCTGGAGACAAAAGAGATGATGAGAAGTCAGAGTGGACTGGTGAACTGTGGAGCTGCTGGAGAAATGCTTAGGACAGCTGGAAACAGGACTGTGCTGCAGGAATGGCTTGTTAAGCCATTGCATGGCAAGTCAAGCCATTGATATTCCAGTGTCCTATGTTGGATGGTCATATCTGTTGTAGCCTGTGAAGTGCAAGTTGCTCCTGGGTAGGTCTTTGAAATGCAGAAGGAGTACGAACTCCTGGTGAGGCTGTGTCAAGATGTACTTCAGTCTGGTTGGCATGGGTAGGATGTGCAGCTTGGAGCAGGAACTGGTTTTGAATGGAGGAAAACACATGAGGTTTGGTGTGTGCTCAGCTAAAGAGTTGCTGTAGTCAGAATTGCTGATATGTTCATCCTTCACAGCTCTGAAGTATTTTAATTCTACAGCTGGTGATTTGTGTGATTTCCCTAAGTGTTTTTAAGACAGCCATGTCTGAATCCATGTGTATCACCCCTCTGTGTGTCTGGTCCTTTCCTTCTCCTCATAAAATGTCTTTCCTGTGTGATTAATAATGTGCCAACTGCTTCATTTCAGCACTGGGGAGGCTGATGCTGATTGATTTCCCTGTTCAGTCTTCTCGGTGGGTCTGGAAGCTGATGGGTGTTATCACTGCAGAAAAGTCTGCTTTTGGGTGGGAGCTGTCAGCATGTCTTTTTTTTTATCTCAGCGAACCTCTTACTTCTTTTAATTAAAAAGAGATGAAGTATGCGTGGTAATACCCTTCATGTTTACATTAAAATGATCTTGTAATTAGCAATAATTATCTCAGTTTGGGATACTGCTGAGATATTTAAACAGGACTTATGACCTGAGGGACACTTTTCCGGCCCCAGGGAGTTGCCCTTGTTGTGGTTCTCTCCTGTGGTGAGTTTGATTCAGTGGTGAAGGTAGAACAGCAGTGGGAGTAGCCTCGTGTTCCTCTGATGTCAGCCTAGAAAGCCATGGCCACGCTTTCCTCCTGAGCCTGGTTCTGCTCCCCAGGGCTCCCTGGCAGCCCTGCCACCACGTGTGTGGAGATGCCCTGCCTTTGATGGCTTTCATCCCATGGTCTGACGATTCTCAAGGCGACCTTGCTATTGTCTTGGGGGAGGGAGATGAAAACAGGCTGAAAAAATGCCAAGTGACCTTTTTTCCCCCCTGGTTCTCCCAGGGAGGTTTGAAAAAGGCTGCTGATAATGTGGGAGACTTTTCCCTGTGAGAGTACAGATCCTGAGACATCCTTGTTCATCTTTCACCTGACTTCCATTTAAGTGGAGAAAAGCTCAGCTCAAACATAAGCATTTGCTTCCAGGCTGGATATGACTCCCACTGCCTTCCCTCCTGCTACCAGTGCACCCCAAATTTACCTTTCTATTAGGCTGCCCTTGGAGCTCACCAGATTTTCTTGAGGTGAAAAACCTTTATGGAGTAGAAAAGCTGGGGAAAACATTCAACAAAATAAAGTCAAGACAAAAAGTACTGCCTATAGAGAGGGATTCCTTGTGGGAGGTTGGTGATTCTCTTCTGTCTCTCAAGATGAGTTATACAGTATACTGTATTTTTGTCAGTCTAGGAAAAGCCAAATGGTTGTGCTTCAAGTAATCTTTAATTGTAATTTATCCCCAGCTTTCTATTTCAACATTTTTGAACTGTAAACTTAGAACCAGAACTTATTGAGCAGCAGATAAAAATGTTGAATGTGTTTGAATTTTACTTGTATTAATCTAATAACATTAATGACATGATATTTGATCACCTCTATACCTGGCTGAAGACCACAAAATAGTCTTAATCAAACAAATTATTTGACAAATACAGATGAGATGAAATTAATGATCTATTTGTCAACTGCTATTCAGCTGATCTGTCATGGCATGTTCCTTGTTCTCTTATCTTTCTCTTCCAGTTTTCATTCCATTTTTGCATGGTTGATCTTTTTCTGAACTGTCCCTGGTATCTGTTTCATTTATCTCTTTTGTGTCATGGTTTTCCTTCCATTGTTTCTTCTGTCTCTTTCTTGAAGCTCTCTTTCCATGCTTTTTGAGTCTAAATTAGCCTTTTTTCTTCTTTTTCTCTACCTTCCTGGTGGAGTTTTTCATTGAGCACTTCACAGTCAGCTCATCTAAATCTGGTATGTGTTTAAACCCATAAAAATGTAGAACTGAACCCAGACTGTGTCTGAGTATGAAGATGTTTGCTTGGTGGTAATGCTTCTCTGCCTCTCCCCACGTTTTCTGGCTGTTGCAGGAAGGGTGTTCCTGCAGTTCTGGAGGTTTTCCCCAGCTGTCATTTTTGCTTGTGTTCTCCTTATGCCTCTTTCAAAAGTGAATTTGACTTTGTATCTTAAGAAAGCAACCAGGATCAAATGGCAGCCCTTGTGTTGTTCCCTGGTTGTGTATCTGTATGCAACCTGCTTCCATCTGCCGTCTGACCAAACACAGCCTTCCTGCCAGGCAGTTTGCCTTTCCTCCTGGCATCATCCTTCCTCCCCACTGGCTTTACAGGCAGGAGGTGCCTTTCAGCAGGGCAAAAGGAACGGGTGCTTGGACCTTTTCTGGTTTACCTATTACTTGCAGAGTCTGTATGAAATTCAGGTTGATGAGGGTAGGTGGCAAGAGGTAAACAGGTCATTATGCAGGTTATAGTACATGACTGAGCAGTCACAATATTCAACTTTCATCTAGTATACAAAAATGAAAGTCTCTTAAGAAATGACATTTCTATTATAAAGAAGACTTTGTTTGGTTGTTTGGGTTTTTTTTACCCCTGGATGATACCTAGGGATGGGGAGGATAATTCAAAAACAATGAAAGGAATAGAAAACCTTGTCTTTCAGGGGAGGAAATTTGCTCTGCCTTGGCAATAAAGCTCAGGCAGTCCAGAGGGGTGTGATGGGAGCGCTCCGAGTGCGTGATTCGCCTCTGCTGATGGTTGCAGTGATGTTGCAGCAGTGCATGAGCTAAGCTGTGTATGTCACAGCTGACTGCTTGAAGTACTGGGAGTTATGCCACGATGGCCCCTTGTACCCTGAAGGAAAGGTCTGTGCTGTACTGAAGTGAACAGTTCCACCTCCCCTCTGTCTTCTGAGGGGGTTTGGGGAACGCTCGGGTGCACTGACACAGAGAGCAATCCAGGCAGCACATTGTTGCAAAGCAGAATTGATTGGGGAGGATGGCGCCAAGAGGAATATTCTTTTGCAGTTAATTATTTACTGCAGGGAGAGAGAGAAGCTGGTGATGTTTGGTTTATAATTACAGATATCCAGAGGTAAATACTTCAGGATGATCTGGTTTATTCTGTGTGTTTCTAGCTATTTCTCTGTAATGTGGGACCAACACTGTTTAATGACCAGCTCAGTAAAACCAAAACCCCGTTATCAATTTCTCACCAGTGGGGTATGGTTTTATAGCTTCCTCTGCGTGGTGCTAACTGACCTGAATGCCTACAGAGAGAACAGTCTTTCCATGCTTACTGTCTTAATGCATGACCTGCCTGTGGTGCCCATCTGACAGCAATGTGGGCTCTTGGAACAGCTAATCTCTGCTGAAAGATGACTTTGTGGTTAAAGCCAGAGGGTTGTGAACCGGGGAATCCTGACTCCCCATCTGGCCTTGGCTAAGCTGGTTGCTTATTTCACTGAACTTTTCTTTAGGGAGGGATACTGACCTAGCAGATAACCAGCAAATACCCAGCCTATCTGCTGAAGGGGTAGGATGCCCTGGGTGAGGCGCTCTGATAATGCAGAGGCAGTGGCAGCCCAGGTACTTGTATAGTGCTGTGCTGTGGGCCAAACTTGAAGAGGATTTTTCCTTTTGCTTAGCTAAATCCATTATAGATCAGACTGCTCGTATGCAAGTTAAATTTGAGAGCTGGTGGAGCTGAGTTTAAATGTGTGTGTGTGGGAGCAATAA